CGCGCCCCCAGCAAGCCCCGCGTCGCCCGCCCGCGCAGAGCTCCCGAGTGGGTGGGAACGCATTCCAGCCGCGCCGGCCCGCCTTCCCCAACTCACCAGCCTGCGAAGTTTCCGCGCCGAGAGGGCTGGTGTCAGGTTTCACAATCCTTTCCTATCCTTCCCGAGCCCTGGGACCCGGGCTTCACCACCCGCAGCCACGCGCTATCTGCTTCACGGGGTGACGATCACGGGAATACCTCCTTACTTTTCCAACCTGTGGCTCGGGATGGGTCCAACGCTGTCAGGACTGCGAGAGGCAGGGCTGTGAGCGGCACCACCCCCGGGAATCCTCCGCGGCGCCTCGGATCAGGAAGGTTTGTGTGAGGAGAAGGCGTGTCTGCGAGTCCGGACGCGGACGTGCCGGGCTCACCTCAGGCCAGCCTTGCCGGCGACGGAACAGCTGCAGTAAGAAACACGCCTGGCTACTGGGTGGATCCTCCACGTCGTGGGGCTTCGAGCCCTGGCGGCGAGCTCATTTTTATTCATTAATTTTTCTGTCTTCTCTGACCTCTCACTTAAGGGGCCCAGGGCACTGCTCCCCTGGTAGTGGCTCTCTGCCCGCAGGGGAAGGGTTGTCCGTGTACCTACGGGGCAGCCAAAGATCACGGGCGAAGGACACAGCAAGACCTCCGGGAAATAAAAGCCAGATTAGAAAGAAGTCGCATTTCAAATTAGATTATGTTCCTGTGAAAATTTCTGGTCAGTGTGCATCATCCCAGTCCCACTTCTAACACCAGTTCAGAGATCAATAAATGACAAACAAAATAACAAGCACACACACTGTCACTGAAACAAGTGTTTATTAAGTACCTATTGCGTGACTGGCCATGTTCTGAACTCGTAAGATTCAAGCACAGACCTAAACTCCTGGCCGGCCCTTTAGGGACTGCAATTTAGACATACTCTGACAGCCCTAATTTAGGGTCATGGGAAAGGTGAGCACACAAGGTGGAGTACATATCATTACAATTGATTTATTCTTCGGTGAAGAAAAAAAATCCACACCTGTCGTTTGCATTTGTGTTAGTAAACATTGAGATGATCGCTTAAATTGTAATTGCTAAGTTCAGATATGACAGGGTGCTTTAGTGACTTGGGTATAGAAAGCACTGCTGTTATCTGAGGATCTCCCCAAGAATTTCTGCTCCAAAGGAGGGGAAAAAGACAAAAACCACAATCCTCAAACAAACAAAAAACAGCCAAGTGGTGGAGAAGAGGCATTACTGAGAACGGTTGTTCTCAGGGTAGTCTGTTCTATCTTCAGTGTTCTTACCTTGAAAGCGGACGTGAGAATAGCAACTCCTTAGGAGTGCTATTGTGAGTAACAGAGTTCATGTCAGGGAAAGGCCTGGAAGAGTTCCTAGCACTGTGAGTTCTATAGATGTGTTGGTGCTACGCCCAACTTCAGGAACACTATTTACTCCATTCTTCAAAAGTTGGTCCAATTTAACAAAAGTTGTTTTAGAAGAAAGCATATGAAATTGGGTTTGTAGATTTTCAAAATCATGTTTGTTAAGGATCTGGGCTTGTGATAGATCTAGTTTTCATCCGTCAACACTACCTGTGTCTGTAAGAAGTATGTAGGTGTCCATGGGCCCAAGAGATAAAAGCAGGAACACACACGCACAACCTTGATCTCCTTCCTCTGTGAACTCCCTCATTTAAAGTGATTCTCCATCCTACATGATGCTAGGTCATATGAATTATTGAGGTAACCTGTTCGCTACTCTCATCAGTCCTGACAGCTACTGTTTCCTGTGTTTAATAGAGCTGGCAAAGCCCTTGCCCCCAGATTATCTCATTAGGCTTTCACAGTTTAGCTTTGAAGTACATAAGGCCTCTATTATATTTACTGTCCCCATTTTAAGAATGAAGAGATTGAGGTTGAGAAAGTTCCAATAATTTGCCCAGAATCGAGAAGCTCAGTAAAGGCAGAACTAAATTCTGTTGGTGCTGAATGTAGAGCTTATGGTGGTCTCCATATTCTGCTGCTTGTGTAGTATTTCTGGAAAAATTTCCTGCCATGAGAAAATCTAGCATGCACATTTATCACCTTGTTGTCCTTTCCCAGATAAGTGCCTGGTAAAGCCAACTCTTGTAGGGACAGCTCTGATGGTTTGACTTGCCACATACAGCCCTGTCCTTCCAGTTGTGAGACTCCAAGGCATTGCAGTCACTTAGTGACACTGTTGGAGAGTGGTGACCCATTCCCTTCCCTGAGAGAAATGTTGCTTTGCCATTTCACTGATGCCACTCTGACTACAGGCAGAGCAGAATCAAAGATCCTAGAAATACAGTGAGAACAGGTGACAGCATCAGGTGTCATGAAAATAATAATAATAATAATTAATAATAATAATAATAAAGATTTCCTGTATCTGAATTTTATGTTGCACCAGTTAAATACATGTAATTCCTGTCTCTTTTAATAGAAAGCTCTGTGGTAAACAGATACATAAATGTACTTGGGAGACTTCTAGTTAAATGTGGCAAATTGATCACATGTGTTTCATTTCCCTCAAACTCTTTCAACACAAAATAAATGAATTTTTTAAATGTTCTTAAGCCACAAAGAAAAACAATAGGGAGAAGAAACATCAACAGAGAAAATATGTTTTAGTGAATTTTTCAAAGAATTTAAATCAGCTGGAGGCTTGGTACCCGTATACAGAATGCTTGGACCTGAAGTCCCCTCCTCCACTGCCACGCAAAATCAACCACAGATTCCTCCATCTGCTCAATCCAGCAGGGGTGGGTGCAACAGGGTTCTAGCCGATGGATGGAATGTGGATAGAACGCATGGAAACCAATTCCAGGCGAAGCCCCTAAATCGGTTCCTGAGATCCTCCAAGCTCTCACTCTTTCCTTGTCAGTATCCAGATGCAAGGAGGCAAGGAACAGGTCAAGGAAGAAGTGGAAGTCACTCAGTGAAAGAAATGTGTGGCCCTGAATGTATCCATGGAAAGAAATCCCAGCTGCCACCTGCAGAACTGGGACTTGAACAAGAAATGAACTTTCGTAAAACCACTGAGATTTGGGCATTGCTACAGCAATTAGATATTCTGATTGTGATAATTTAAAGCTTTGAGGCAATTGTCTTGATCTACTGCCCCCAAAAAAGTGTGCTAAATCAACTTCAATAAATAAAAGATATTGTGAACTCCAGGAAAACCAAAAGTTGTGAAGGAAAAGTAATATGCAATACAATATCCCTTCATCCACATGGAGGTATAATTAAAATAAAGAGAATATTCACAAAACAATTAAATCTAAACTTCAATAAAACTATATGTATATAGAGTTTGGGGAGAAGAAAAGTGTGTATGTGAAATCCTAAACTGTGATAATATAAAAAAACACGAAATGTGTAAAATGCCTAAAAAAATAGCAGGATAAGGAAACCATTTAGAAATATATGTAAGAACAATAACAAACCTCTAAGTGTGTCAAAAGTTTACTATTGGAATTCAGACCAGAGCTTAAGAGAAAGTCTGTGCCTACATTATAAGAAATTTAACACCATTTTATTTCAAATTATGAAATGTATTACCTCAATAAAAATAAGATTAATCTTAAAATAGCCTTAAAAATAAACATAGGGCAGCAAAACATATCTGCCCAATGGAGAAAACATAATACTTTAATATTAAAGTACATGTATATATTAATACAATAACTTATAAACAGTAGAGAAAGTGGTGGTTTGCACAATGATTTACTCATTCAGCAAAGACTTATTAAGCGACTTGAGACTGGTACACTGCTAGGCATGGAGGATCTGGTGAAGAATACAAAGGAAGAATAAAAGTACCCTAACAGAAAATGAGTATCTTTAAATTTTAAACAACAAATATATTTTTGAGTTCTCCCTTGTGCTTGGTGGCATGAGCCACTCACAGACTTGGCTTTTCTTTCTTTCTTTCTTTCTTTCTTTCTTTCTTCCTTCCTTCCTTCCTTCCTTCCTTCCTTCCTTCCTTCCTTTCTTTCTTTCTTTCTTCCTTTGCCATGATACTGTCTTCTATTCTCTAAGAACTCTTGGAAATGCTCTGGATTTGCCCCTCACTGAGAGCAGTCTCCCAGCTAAGCCTGCTCTAAGAGTGCAAGGAAGGCAGGCTCTGCCAGGTAGGCAGGCTGGTCGGGCCTCCACCTCCTGCTGCCTTCCAGTCATGTGGAGGCTGTTTAATCACACTTTAAAATCAACCTCTCCCCAGTTTGAGGCAGCCTCGCAGCATGACTAACAAGTCAGAAGACTGAGCTCTGTCATGCTTGTTCTCCTGCTTCCACGGATGCAACTTCAAGAACTACGTATGCTTAAGACACTTCCAATTAGCAAATTGCTTTTATGTCCAAAGCACATAAAGATCTATTGTAGATACGTTTTTAAACTGAACGTATTTCTAAAATTGTACCTACAGCACCCACTGGGCCATGAGCTTATAACCTTCTCACTTCTAACTTCATTTCTCTCAGTTTCTTAGAATATGAAATAAAGATGTACTTCAACCTGAAATGGAAATTATTGTAATTCAATAGAATTTTTTCCATGTTACAGAAGTATGCTATGGGAGAGGCCAAAATAGTTTCTTGAGTTTTTATAAATTTTATGTCAGTTTCATGAGTTTTATGTCAGTTATGAAAAGTCATATTTATTGAACTATGAAGCATAAGTGATAACAATCTATTCTATAGTTATGTTGACATATACCATTACAATATTGATATATATCTGTGTGCATATGTATGTATACATAGTCATTGACTTGTAGAAAATAGATTGTGTTTCCTCCTACATGCTTATTTTTATTAATACAATTTTCCTTCTATGTGACAATGTATTAAACATAGCCATATCAATTGATTATAATGTCAACCTACAATAATTGAAATAAAAGATAGCTATATTCATAACAGGTATTAAAAGTGAGAAACAAAGATTTGTGAAAGTGATTTAAAATATAATACATTAGACTCTCAAAATTAGCATGACAGGCAATAAAAATATCTGCAGCAAACAAAGAAAATCCCTTGAGTTCTAATGGTATAAATGTGTGTATTTTTTCTCAATGACAATTAAAAAGAGGAAATTCAACACCCTCAATGGTTATCATGACTTTATGTCACAATTAAGGGTAAACATATTGGCAATTTTGTCTTCTACTGTTTAACATAAGATAAATAAATCATGGAAATGTCTTTGTCTATTGCTGAGCACTCTCAGCTCGCTTCAACTTGTTAGTGGCAAAGCTGATTTTGCAACAAAGCAGAAAACACACAGCCCAAACTTGCACTGAATCATCTTGATGCTAACATCATTTGATATTGGTCATCACCACTAGGAATCAAATTTCCCCAACCAATTGAAAATGCTTTTAACCTGTCTTACCTCTTCTTCTTCCTTCA